TGACAGTTGAGAGGCGGGACCAAAGAGCCAAAGCTCAACCCCCGCAAGCACAATTAGGTGAGTACAATTAGGTGAGTACAAAGGAGGCAAATGTCGTACCGATTTTCAAGAAAGGTGATAGGGAGGAGGCACTTAACTACAGACCCGTATCACTGACAAGCATCCCCTGCAAAATACTTGAAAGAATAATTAGGCTAAGACTTGTTGAGCACCTGGAGAGCATTGGGTTTGTAAACAAGCACCAACATGGGTTCTGGACAGGGAAATCATGCCTAACAAACCTTTTAGAATTCTATGATAAAGTAACAAGGATAAGGCAGGACAGAGAAGGCTGGGCAGACTACATATTTCTTGACTGCCAAAAGGCTTTTGATACAGTACCGCACATGAGACTGCTATACAAACTTGAGAGGCAGGCAGGAGTAAGCGGAAAGGCCCTAGTATGGGTGAAGAACTACCTAACAGGAAGGAGCCAGAGGGTAATGGTAAGGGACGAGAAGTCTGACTGGCGAACAGTAACAAGTGGAGTACCTCAAGGATCGGTGCTGGGACCAATCCTCTTTCTAATTTACGTAAATGATATGTTTACAGGAGTGGAATCATACATGTCAATGTTTGCGGATGACGCAAAATTAATGAGAAGAGTTGTGACAGACTAGGATTGTAGGATCCTCCAAGAGGACTTAAACAGGTTGCAGAGATGGTCAGGGAAATGGCTACTGGAGTTTAACACCAGTAAATGTAAAGTTATGGAAATGGGATCAGGAGATAGGAGACCAAAGGGACAGTACACAATGAAGGGGAACAGCCTACCTGTAACGATTCGAGAAAGAGACCTGGGAGTGGATGTGACACCTAATCTAACTCCTGAGGCACATATAAATAGGATAACGACAGCAGCGTACTCTACACTGGCGAAAATTAGAACTTCATTCAGAAACCTAAATGAGGAGACTTTTAGGGCGCTTTACACTGCCTACGTGAGACCCGTCTTAGAGTATGCCGCGCCATCATGGAGCCCCCACCTGAAGAAACACATAAAGAAACTGGAGAAGGTCCAGAGGTTTGCGACGAGGCTTGTCCCAGAGTTACGAGGGATGGGATATGAAGAGCGTCTGCAGGAACTGACCCTTACGACACTAGAGAAAAGAAGGGAGAGAGGAGATATGATAGGGACATATAAAATACTCAGAGGAATTGACAAAGTGGAAATAGATGAAATGTTCACACGTAATAATAACAGAACGAGGGGACATGGGTGGAAACCGGAAACTCAGATGAGTCACAGAGATGTTAGGAAGTTTTCTTTTAGCGTGAGAGTAGTGGAAAAATGGAATGCACTTAAGGAACAGGTTGTGAAAGCAAATACTATTCATAATTTTAAAACTAGGTATGATAGGGAAATGGGACAGGAGTCATTGCTGTAAACAACCGATTGCTGGAAAGGCGGGATCCAAGAGTCAATGCTCGATCCTGCAAGCACAAATAGGTGAGTACACACACAATTTTGGTCTATGATTTGCACCCTCTAAGAGTTAACCAAGCAATAATTAGCAATCAAGTTAACAAAATTCACGGTAAAGAAACTCTAGTAATTACTGAAGGAATTATTTTCTACAATGTTTTGTCCCACTCTGGAACATCTTCAGGTAAAGAAAGAATACATAATACCTTCGATTAAATTATATTGACATGACCAGCACAAAGCTTTCGAGAAGACTGCCTGCCATTTACAAGCTGGTGCCCCTAGACACCATATGCAAAGTGTACATAACAACACTCACTAGAAACATGATAGTAGATAATACAAAAATCCTGGAATCCACCACTGACCAAACGAGGTGTCGTTATGGAATTCATAACAACACCTCTACCGACTTCTCCCTGCCCACCGAAAGTACCAAAGTTTCACTAAACGCCTTACCCAATGCCTGACTGGCCCTTCCCCCCTTATTCCTACCTCATTCCCCTATTCCTTACTGTTCAATTGTCCCCATATTCTTTTGACCCTTCACTTCACCCCCACAAAACCTCATCCCTTCCACATGTGTATTGAACCCCAATTTGCACCTTATGTATTCTTTTTTTACCAAAAGATGTTCCAGGATGGAATGAAACATTGTAAAAAATATATCCTTTATTAATTACTAGAGTGTCTTTATCGTGAACTTTGGTAATTCAATTGTTCTTCTCAATGCTGACACTAAGACATTAGAAGCATAGAGAGCTTACACTATAAAATTAACAATGCCAGCAACAATGCCAGCAATGTGGTCACATTTAAACAAATATGCTTAAAGGAACACCCGTTGCCCAAGTATACTAACATCAAAATTCTTACTCTATATAAATCTAGCACATTAAATCTTCCCTCAAACTCTTTCAACCCTTCCAACCTCTTATATTATAATTTATCCCCCCCCTTCCCTTCCCTTACCTCACACAGCAGTAAAAGCCTGGTCTTCGTGGGTCTAGTTATTAGTCTATAAAGTTTTATTGAAATTGGATGAATTTCATTTGTATAACTTTTAATTACATTTTTCAACAAAGCATTTGAAAGTGAGAATGCTTAAGCTGATATTTGGAAGGCACTAGGTTTATTGGAATGGATTGGCGTAGAGCTGATGCCCTTTACTGTGTTATTCAGGTAATGTAGGCTAACTTCATTCGTAACTTTTAAAACTAGACGCAAGGACAGGAACTAAAAACTTAAAGTTGAAACTAGGACGTCAGGAGTTATTGCTTTAATTAACCGGCGGCTAGAGAAGCGGGAACCAATAGCCATCGCTCGATTCTGCAGGCACAAATAGGTGAGTACACATACACACAATCAGGTGTGTCCACATAGGCCTTCGTGGCTGAGTTAACGGGGCTCAGGGGTGTCGAGTGCTGACCTTCTAGTCGAGTGAGTGTGTTGTGTTTTACGTTGTGTGTCGTCCTAAGGGCCCGGGTTCGATTCCCCGAAGAAGCAGAAATAATTAGGCAATGTTTCTTTCACGTGATGTACCTGTTCACTTCTTTTTTTTTTTTTTTTATTTTTTTTTATTTTTATAAAAGAATACACAATGTACAAAACAGACACCCGCCGAACAAACAAGTTATGAACATACACAGGACAATATAACAAAGGAAGTAAACCACGGATACAATAAACATACCCAACAAAAACCAAGAAAGAAAACACATGACACAAGGCACAAAAAAAAAGAGAACCCAGAAACGGGGACAGTATGTACCACAAAAAACAGAACATGTCATTAATAGCACACAATAGAAATAACATAAAACATAGGCACATCCACACAACCTTAAGTACAGAAATACAAAAGGAGAGCGCACATACAAGCCCAGCCCAACAACCCAAACACAGGTGCATAAAAGTATAGAACAACAGGCCTCCGAAACCCAGCACACGAACACCCTCGGCCCACTCATTCCGCAAACCACAAATACGCTCCTTACACTCCGCAATCTACAGTCAATCCCAGCATTGTACCGCACATACAACCGCGAAAGCCTCGCCTGGAACAACCGCAGCAACCCAAACCTTCCAGCAGCCTCACGTTTGGCAGCCACCCGAAAAAACAACCGACATTGCTCCTTACACCACTCCCACCAATCTAAAACAGAATCACACCGCGGGCGAGAACCCCGACCCACCAAACCCGAAATGCCCCAAACAAAACACAGGCTCAACCCCCTGCCGCACCCTGGAAGAACCGGCCAGGAACCGCCTTCAAAATCACAGGAGATACACCATGCGAAGAGGGCGCCCCAGGCGTCGAGGACACCTCCACAGTTTTTCCACTTCCTCCGCTGCCCCGAGCCCGACACCACGCTCAATGCCCCGCTCATCCCCAGATTGGAGAAGCGGAGGGAGGAGCACCAGCCAAAGGCACACCACCCGAAGCCTCGAAGGGGGGCCCTGCTGCGCGACCGACGGAGCGCGCTTTCGTCGAGGAACAGAAGAGCCCAATGCAACCACAGGAGGCACAGCACAAGCGACAAAAACATGGAAATACATACATTGAAAGTCAAACAGAAATAACCTGAGTACATTTCTGGGGACGACGCCTCCAGAGGCACACCCACAGAGCCCGGGCCCGCTTTTCTTACTCCGTTTCCTCAAGCATAATTAAAAAGACATAATACAAAGGCAGAACAAATCAAGGTACAGGTCAACACTGACAGCCCGGGCCGAACGTCAGCGCCCTCCGGTAGCAGAGCGGCGAGTCCCCTAAAGTTGAAACTAGGACGTCAGGGTTTATTGCTTTAATTAACCGGCGGCTAGAGAAGCGGGAACCAATAGCCATCGCTCGATTCTGCAGGCACAAATAGGTGAGTACACATACACACAATCAGGTGTGTCCACATAGGCCTTCGTGGCCGAGTTAACGGGGCTCAGGGGTGTCGAGTGCTGACCTTCTAGTCGAGTGAGTGCGTTGTGTTTTACGTTGTGTGTCGTCCTAAGGGCCCGGGTTCGATTCCCCGAAGAAGCAGAAATAATTAGGCAATGTTTCTTTCACGTGATGTACCTGTTCACTTAGCAGTAAATAGGTACCTGGGGAGTGAAACAGGTGCTTGGGCTGCTTCCTGGCAATGTATGTGTGCGTGTGTCAGATCAAAATATCTGAAATAGACATAATAGAAGAAAAATTTGATCGATAAGATAGACGAGGTCCAAGAGCTAATAGTTCGATACAGTAGACGCATATAGTAAATACAAATAGTAAACACACACACACATACATACATACATACATACATACACATACATACATACATACATACATACATACATACATATATACATACACACACACACACCACATACATACATACATACATACATACATACATACATACATACATACATACATACATACATATAGGGATAGTATTAACCACCAGCTGGACCATTACCATGACAACCCAACAACGCTGGTGACGGTGGGGGGGGGGGGGCGGGGTGATGGATTGGTGGCTTCCAGTGCACTCAGTCCTCCAGTGTGGCGCCACTACTCACAACGTGACAACTGCTCACCACGTGAAAACACTGCTCTCTTTCTCAGTCAATTAACCAATCCAGCACTCCGTGATTAATGTTGTGGTGTGTATGTTGTATAGCGTCCCTGCTGGTGGCACCATGGGCCTCTCTACTCCTGCCTCACGTCCGCCAAGTTGCCCTTTGTATAGCGCAAAGTTGTGCTGTTTGCGCACGCTACCTTCCCTATCACACCACTTAACACCTCGTACCAGCGTTAGTGTGCTGTGTTGCACAGTGTAGGACGTGTTGTGTTGCAGTCTAAGACGTGTTGCGTTACACAGTGTAGGACGTGTTGTGTTGCAGTCTAAGACGTGTTGTGTTACACAGTGTAAGACGCGTTGCGTTACACAGTGTAGGACGTGTTGTGTTGCACAGTGTAAGACGTGTTGCGTTACACAGTGTAAGACGTGTTGTGTTGCACAGTGTAAAGTGTGTTGCGTTACACAGTGTAAGACGTTTTGTGTTGCAGTGTAGGACGTGTTGTGTTGCACAGTGTAAGACGTGTTGCGTTACACAGTGTAAGACGTGTTGTGTTGCACAGTGTAAAGTGTGTTGCGTTACACAGTGTAGGACGTGTTGTGTTGCAGTGTAAGACGTGTTGTGTTACACAGTGTAAGACGTGTTGCGTTACACAGTGTAGGACGTGTTGCGTTACACAGTGTAAGACGTTTTGTATTGCAGTGTAAGACGTGTTGCGTTACACAGTGTAGGACGTGTTGTGTTGCAGTCTAAGACGTGTTGCGTTACACAGTGTAAGACGTGTTGCGTTACACAGTGTAAGACGTGTTGCGTTACACAGTGTAAGACGTGTTGCGTTACACAGTGTAAGACGTGTTGCGTTACACAGTGTAAGACGTGTTGCGTTACACAGTGTAAGACGTGTTGCGTTACACAGTGTAAGACGTGTTGCGTTACACAGTGTAAGACGTGTTGCGTTACACAGTGTAAGACGTGTTGCGTTACACAGTGTAAGACGTGTTGCGTTACACAGTGTAAGACGTGTTGCGTTACACAGTGTAAGACGTGTTGCGTTACACAGTGTAAGACGTGTTGCGTTACACAGTGTAAAGTGTGTTGCGCCAGCTTGTGCATGTAGCACGACTCCTCTGGCCTGGTGACCTGGTATCCCTTGACAACCACCACAAAGTCTTGTGATTTTATTCCTGTGAGTACTTGATAATTGTAGAAGAGTATGTCTACTGCTGTGTTGGAGTGTGTTACGTTGGCGTCGAGTGTGTGTGTTACGTTGGTGTCGAGTGTGTTGTTACGTTGGTGTCGAGTGTGTGTGTGTTACGTTGGCGTCGAGTGTGTGTGTGTTACGTTGGCGTCGAGTGTGTGTGTGTTACGTTGGTGTCGAGTGTGTGTGTGTTACGTTGGTGTCGAGTGTGTGTGTTACGTTGGTGTCGAGTGTGTGTGTGTTACGTTGGCGTCGAGTGTGTGTGTGTGTGTGTTACGTTGGCGTCGAGTGTGTGTGTGTGTGTTACGTTGGCGTCGAGTGTGTGTGTGTGTGTTACGTTGGCGTCGAGTGTGTGTGTGTGCTACGTTGGCGTCGAGTGTGTGTGTGTGTGTTACGTTGGCGTAACGCCAACGTTGGTGTCGAGTGTGTGTTTACGTTGGTGTCGAGTGTGTGTGTTACGTTGGTGTCGAGTGTGTGTGTGTGTTACGTTGGCGTCGAGAGTGTGTGTGTGTTACGTTGGCGTCGAGTGTGTGTGTGTGTGTTACGTTGGCGTCGAGTGTGTGTGTGTGTTACGTTGGCGTCGAGTGTGTGTGTGTGTTACGTTGGCGTCGAGTGTGTGTGTGTGTTACGTTGGCGTCGAGTGTGTGTGTGTGTTACTTTGCGTCGAGTTGGTGTGTGTGTTTACGTTGGCGTCGAGTGTGTGTGTGTGTTACGTTGGCGTCGAGTGTGTGTGTGTGTTACGTTGGCGTCGAGTGTGTGTGTGTGTTACGTTGGCGTCGAGTGTGTGTGTGTGTTACGTTGGCGTCGAGTGTGTGTGCGTTGTTACGTTGGTGTCGAGTGTGTGTGCGTTGTTACGTTGGTGTCGAGTGTGTGTTACGTTGGTGTCGAGTGTGTGTTACGTTGGTGTCGAGTGCGTGTGTTGTTACGTTGGTGTCGAGTGTGTGTGTGTGTATTCACCTAGTTGTGTTTGCGGGGGTTGAGCTCTGCTCTTTCGGCCCGCCTCTCAACTGTCAATCAACTATTCCTACCTACTAACATTTTTTCAAACCCCCACACGCGTGCACACACACACACGCACGCACACACGCAACAACAACAACGTAACAGCACACACACTCGACACCAACGTAACAACACACACACTCGACACCAACGTAACAACACAACAAGAGGTTCCAGGAGGTCTTCACAATAGAACAAGGTGAGGTCACTGTGCTAGGAGAAAGGGAGGTAAACCAGGCGGCCTTGGAAGAGTTCGAAATTACGAGAGAGGAGGTCAAGAGACACCTGCTGGATCTGGATGTTAGAAAGGCTGTTGGTCCGGATGGGATCTCACCATGGGTACTGAAAGAGTGTGCAGAGGCACTTTGCTTGCCACTCTCCATAGTGTATAGTAAGTCACTGGAGACGGGAGACCTACCAGAAATATGGAAGACGGCGAATGTGGTCCCAATATACAAAAAGGGCGACAGGCAAGAGGCACTGAACTACAGGCCAGTGTCCTTGACTTGTATAGCATGCAAGGTGATGGAGAAGATCATGAGAAAAAACCTGGTAACACATCTGGAGAGAAGGGACTTCGTGACAAATCGCCAACATGGGTTCAGGGAGGGTAAATCTTGCCTTCCAGGCTTGATAGAATTCTACGATCAGGTGACAAAGATTAAGCAAGAAAGAGAGGGCTTGGCGGACTGCATTTTCTTGGATTGTCGGAAAGCCTTTGACACAGTACCACATAAGAGGCTGGTACATAAGCTGGAGAGACAGGCAGGTGTAGCTGGTTAGGTGCTCCAGTGGATAAGGGAGTATCTAAGCAATAGGAACCAGAGAGTTACGGTGAGGGGTGAGACCTCCAATTGGCGTGAAGTTACCAGTGGAGTCCCACAGGGCTCTGTACTCGGTCCTATCTTGTTTCTGATATATGTAAATGATCTCCCGGAGGGTATCGATTCATTTCTCTCAATGTTTGCGGACGATGCTAAAATTATGAGAAGGATTAAAACAGAAGAGGACTGTTTGAGGCTTCAAGAAGACCTAGACAAGCTGAAGGAATAGTCGAACAAATGGTTGTTAGAGTTTAACCCAACCAAATGTAATGTAATGAAGATAGGTGTAGGGAGCAGGAGGCCAGATACAAGGTATCATCTGGGAGAGGAAATTCTTCAGGAGTCAGAGAAGGAAAAAGACTTGGGGGTTGATATCACGCCAGACCTGTCTCCTGCAGCACATATCAAGCGGATAACATCAGCGGCATATGCCAGGCTGGCCAACATACGAACGGCATTCAGAAACTTGTGTAAAGAATCATTCAGAACTTTGTATACCACATATGTCAGGCCAATCCTGGAGTATGCAGCCCCAGCATGGAGTCCATATCTAGTCAAGGATAAGACTAAACTGGTTGATAAATGTACATAGCTTATTCCACATTTGGTGGAGATAAATAAGCCATATACATTTACAGTTAATTTTATAGTTATAATGTATACCCCATATGGTGGTACAAACAGGCTACAGTGGTTAGTACTAAACAATAATATTGTAAACATGGGTTAGTATAAACATGAACTCTTATCTGTGTATGTAGTTATGGCCGGTATTGGCAATATGAGAAGTGTTCCTTAATCATCAAATTAGGGTGTGGTACATATGGTCCAGCTGTTGGGTCATGTTCTGTAAAATGGAGTGTTCTGCAGCCAGAGCAGGCAAGCTGTCACAGTTTGTTGCCGGTGGTCAGCTCAACTAGTGTCCCACGGACCACAATGTTATCTGTCAAATGAATGGATTATAAAAATAGCACAAAACATATAAAGTAGAGGTGTGACATGTGAAATGTTGGTGTAATGATGAGTAAAGAAACTAAACTCACTTGGTTTGTGGTGAAGCCCCACTGCATAGCGATAGTTTCCTATACTAATGATGGCCATAATTACGTGCATTAGAAATACCAAAAGCTGATTTTCCCATTGTTATTGTAGAGGTTGTTGTGGGAATACACTGTGGGATAGAATAGTCTATGGTTTGTGATGCGTGTTGCTAATACCTCAGACAGTAGTCTTGTCTCTGTTGACACCCGGAGACCAGGACTGGTTAACTGGCTCTGAGTCGCTCTCAGCGTCTCGCTCGTTCCAATATTCTTTCCAAAAATGTTGTCTTATGGACTTCGGGAGGTAACCTATACTTAATAATATATTTCATTAAGTTAAAGCATAGATAACCTTTTTCTGTTAATTTTAATGCTTAAACTGTTGTTTAAAGGAAACATGGTGTGTAAATGTGTTATGATGACGTCACCATCCCATTCTCTTTAAACTTCTGGTGACTAACTAAAGAAAATTAACTACATTTATGATGGTTACTCTGTTAGCATGTTATGAGTCTGATTACCGACAGACATGTTGAGCTGCGGGTTGTTCCCTGTGCATGCTCCGGGGCTCAGGGCAAGACAACGTGTTGAGCTGGGTGAGGATAGGGGAGAGAGGGAGGGAGGAAGGGACGGAGTAAGGAAGGTGAAGGACGAAGGCCGAAAGGGAGGGAGGTGAGAGACGGGAGGGAGGTGAGAGACGGGAGGGAGGTGAGAGACGGGAGGGAGGTGAGAGACGGGAGGGAGGTGAGAGACGGAGGGAGGTGAGAGACGGGAGGGAGGTGAGAGACGGGAGGGAGGTGAGAGACGGGAGGGAGGTGAGAGACGGGAGGGAGGTGAGAGACGGGAGGGAGGTGAGAGACGGGAGGGAGGTGAGAGACGGGAGGGAGGTGAGAGACGGGAGGGAGGTGAGAGACGGAGGGAGGTGAGAGACGGGAGGGAGGTGAGAGACGGGAGGGAGGTGAGAGACGGGAGGGAGGTGAGAGACGGGAGGGAGGTGAGGAACGGAGGATGGGAGGGAGG